TTCACAAAAATATAAAATAACTTTTATCACAAGTTTACTGTAATCTTTAATTTCACTCTTGTATATACCCTAAATTTATAAATCCAAGAGAGTATTTTAAATTTTTATTTTTATTAGAGAATTATTTTCATATGACTTGAGATAACTTATTTGAAAGTGTAAATTTCAAGAAATTTTCTTAATTTTGATCAATTCCTATCTTAAACAATACACATGGCAGTTTATGGAATTATTTTAGTATCCTGCTCCATATGTAGGCTTATAAGATAATGATTTAAAAAAATATAAATAAAAAGAACAAAATAGTATGAAGCAAAAATTACTCAATTATTATTTAATATTGTCTGTTGATGTAAACAATGTGTTACCATGTGATAATAACAATTTTTTTGTAAAATTACAAGTAAAATAATCACAGCATAAGTAAGCATTGCTTCATAAAGGTAATCCAGTATTTTGAAATTCTATGATATCTGAATTAAAATATTTCTCACTTTATTAGGTCAATTATCATATTTTTGCTGAATATACCTCTTAAAACTGTAAGATATTTTGGTGTTTTAATTTAAATAGAATTTAAATAAAGTAGTCTAATCCATTTCTTCATTAATTCATTAACTATTATTGAGTTTCTATGATTTGCAGCTGGAACATATACAAAACTATTCAATTCTTAATTGTTCTAACAAATATCAGTGTTCAAATAATAATAACAATGTATTTGATGACTATAGGTTATGGAAAAGTAAAATAATTGACATCAGTGATACAAGGGACAAAAAGAAAGAATTACAAATACTTTGTTATAAGGTACTTGCACTACCCATGAATTGGTATAATGTTATTAATATTTAAAAGTGGAGTTGTATTAGTTATAATATATATATTGAAAACTTTATGGCAGTCATAAGAAAAATTAAATGAATAAATATAATTGGTATGCTAAGAAAGGAGAGAAAAATGGAATCATATGAAGTGTGCAATTAAAATTACAGAAAGCAGAAATAGAGTGGAAGACAAAAACAGAAAGAGAAAAGCGCTACAAATAGAAAATAGTAACAGAATGGTAGATGTCAATCCAACTTTATCAATAATCACCTTAAATGACAATGGTTTAAATATACCAATTAAGAGACCGAGATTGAATGAATAAAATAGACCCAGATATATATATGTTGTCTGTAAGAAACCCACTTTATGAAGATATATATAGATGAAAAGTAAAGGGAGGAAAAATGATATACATGTTAACAATAACTGAAAGAAAGTTGAACTAGCTGTATTAATTTTATACTAAACAAATTTCAAAGCAAGGAAAATTATTAGTGATAAAGAGATGTGTTGGATAGTAATAAAGAATATAATTCTTAATATATATGTATCTAAAAACTGAGCATCAAAAATAAATAAATAAATAAAAACTGAGCATCAAGGCACAGGGGAAAATAAATTGATAGAACTGCAAGGGAAAATGGATGAACCCATTATTATAGAAGAAAACTTCAACACAGTGTATCAGAAATGGACAGCTCCAGCTTGTGGAACCCAACAGCACTGTCAATCAACTAGATGTAAATAACATCTACAAACTATTTCATTCAACAACAGCTGAATAAACCTTCTTCTGAAATTCATATGAAATATTCACCAAGATGGACCACTTTCTGGACCATAAAAACAACTTTAACACATTTAAAATAATAGAAAGTATATAATGTATGCTTTCAGATCACAAAGGAATTATACTAGCAATCAGTAAGAGAAAGATAAGTAGAAATTTTCAAAATACTTGGATATTAAACAAAACATTCCTAAACAATATGTTAAAAAGTCACATCAAGAGAAATTTAAAATATTTTGAAATAAATGAGAACAAAAAACTAATGAAAACTTTTGAGATGCAGGAAAAATCTGTTCAGAAGGAAATTTATAGCATTGAATCCATATAATAACAAAAAAAGAAACATCTAAAATAAAAAAAAAAAAATCTAAACTTTCAGCCTAGGAACCTAGGCAAAAAAGACAAAATTAAATCCAAAGAGAGCAGAAGAAAATAAGTAATAAAAATTGTGCAGAATTCAATAATATTGAAAACAGAAAAACAATGAAACACAAAGCTAATTCTTTGAAGGGATCTATAAAATTGGTAAGCCTCTAATAAGACTAATAAAAAGATAAGATATAAATTACTAATGTCAGAAATTAGAGGGATCATCATTATAGATTACATGGACAGTATAATAAAGGAATACTATGAACAACTCTATGCCTGCAAATTTGATAACCTAAATGAAATATACGAATTCCTTGAAAGATATGATCTATATAAACTTACATAAAAAGAAGTAGATAATCTTAATAGACCTATATTTATTTAAAAATCGAAGTCAATAATTAATAGCTTTCTAAAACAGAAAGCAACAAGCCAAGATAAGTTCAATGATGAATTCTACTACCCATTAAAGGAAAACAATAATACAAAATCTCTACAAATTCTTCCAGAAGATAGAAGCACAGGGTATATTTTCTAATTCATTCTATGAGGCCAGCATTACCCTAAAAGTAAAACCAGGCAATGATATTTAGGAAAAGGTAACAACAAACCAGTATCTCTCATGAACATAGATGCAAAACTCTTTCACAAAGTATTAGAACATCAAATTCAATATTCTATAAAATGAACTATATATCATGATCATTGGCATTCACTCCAGGTATACAAGGCAAATCCAACATTAGAAAATTAATCAATGTAATTCATTAAAATCACAGGCTAACAAACAAAAATCACTTGATCATATCACCAGATGCAGGGGAAGGAAATTGACAAATCCATCATTTATGATAAAATCTCTCAGAAAATTAGGAATAGGGAGGAACTTGCTAAATGCAATAATGAATGTCTACAAAACCCCTACGACTAACATCTGACTTAATAGTGAGAAAATAAAATCTTTCCTGCTAATATCAGACACAAAGCAAATATGCCTACTGTCACCACTCTTTATCAACATTATACTGAATATCCTATCAATAGCTATAAGAAAAGAAATAGAAATAAAAGGTATACAGAGTGGTAAGGAAGACATAAAACTCTCTTTGTCTCAAATAACATGATTCCTCTATGTAGAAAAACCTAAAGAATCAACAAAGTATTCCAGGACCTAGTAAACAATAATAGCAAGATTGCAAGATACAATAATAAATCACACACACACACACACACACACACACATATATATATATCAGCAATGAACAATTAAAATTTGAAATGAAAAATATACCATTTACATTAGTACTCCAAAAATTAAATACTTAAACATAAAATTAATAAAATTTGTAAATGAGAAAAACTATAAAACTGTTATTAAAAACATTAATATTTAAATAAGTAGAAAGATATTCCATGCTCATTGATAAGAAAATTCAATATGGTCAGACTATCAGTTTTTGCTGTCTTGATCTATAGATGTAATGCAATCCAATGATCTATAGATGTAATGCAATCCAATTAAAACACAAGTTATTTTGTGGATATTGGCAAACTGATTCTAGCATTTATATGGAAAGTTAAAAGGGCCAGAATAGTCAACACAATATTGAAGCAGAATAAGAACATCAGAGGACTGACACTACTTGACTTTAAGATGACTATAAAATTACTACTAATTGAAACTATGTAGCATTGGTGAAAAATCGACAAATAGACCCATGGAAAACAACAGAGAACCTAGACAAACATCCACAAAAGTACAGTCAACTGATCTTAATCAAAGTAGCAAATACAATAAAATGGACAAAAAAAATATTGTCTTCTCAATAAATGGTGCTTTAACAACTAACTGGATGACCACATGCCAAAAAAAAAAAAAAAATCCCTTAAAATCTTGAAAAAAAAAATAGATCCAAGTGGATCAAAGATCTAAGTGTAAAATTTGAAAGTATAAAACTCTTAGAAGATAACTCAGGATAAAATCTGTATGACCTTGAGTTTGATGATAACTTTTTAGACACAAACCAAAGGTATGATGCATGCAAGGAAGAATTGGCAAGATGGTCATTAAAATTTAAAACTTCCACTCTATGGAGACACTGTCAAGAGAATGAGAAGACAGGCTACACATGTGAAAATATGTGCGAATGACTACAAAGAACTCTTAAAAGCCAGTAATAATAAAACAACCCAGTTAAAAAATGGAGACAAGATCTGAGATATACAGATGGCAAAAAATCCTATGAAAAGGTGCTGGACATCATACATCATTAGGGAAATAAAATATTAAAACAATGAAATACCACTACACAACTATTAAAATGGCTAAAATACAAGATACTGACATTGCTAAATGCTGACAAGGATGTGGAGCAACAGGAACTCTCCTTCATTGCTGATGTGAATGCAAAATGGTTAGCGACCTTGAAAGACTGGCAATTTCTTATGAATTAAACATACTCTTACCCTACAACTCAGCAGTCCTATCAAGTAAATGAAATGAAAACTTATGCCACAAAAAACCTGCACACAGATGTATATAATAGTTTTATTCATAACTGGAAAATCTTGGAAGCAATAAAGATGTCATTCAATAGGTAAATAGATAAATTTACTATGGGATATTCAGACAAAAGGATACTATTTAAAACTGAAAAGAAATGAGTGATGAAGCCCTGAAAAGACATGGGGGAAATATATATGCATATTGCTAAGTGAAAGAAGCCAATATGAAAAGGCTGTATACTATATGATTCCAACTGTATGGCATTCTGGAAGTGACAAAATTATGGATACAGTAAAAAACAAAACAAAACAAAAACGATGGTCTGAGTTTGAGGGGCAGTATGAATAGATGGAGCACAGGGGACTTTTAAGGAAGTAAAGCTATTCTTTATGCTACTGTCAAAACCCATAGAACATTCAACACCAAGAATTTGCCACAGTGCAAACCAGAGGCCTTGGGTGATAATTAGGTGTCAATGTTGGTTCGCTTACTGTGACACAGGTACCACTCTGGCGCTGGGTGCTGCGGGAGGAGGCTGTGTGTGTTTGTGTTGCAAGGTGAGTGGCACATAGGAATTCTCTGTGCTTTTCATCCAATAGTGTGGTGAACCTGAAGTGCTCTAAAAAATATAGTCTTTATAAAAATACTTCAAGAATTCATGAATTCTATTTAGTCAGTGCATTATAATCCATTCTGTTTATGATGATGCTCAAGTTGTCAGAATTTGGCTAGTGAGTGCTCCTTCCATCTGTCTGCTTTGTCTGTATGTTTTTAGCACTTTATAGCTTTCTGTGATCAGGATTACCTTGCATTTTCTTAGTCCTAGCCTGTGAACCACTTATTTTCAAAACTGACCTGGTTCCTTTTCTGGGGGGAAGAATAGAACCAATGGCTGAGCACTAAGTGTCCATACTGCTATCAGAGAAACTGAGCTGTCGTTGGCACCAGACTTTCTCAGGGGTATATCTGAGAAAATATTTTAAATCCTGAGCTTATATATCCAATCCAGTTATTACTGGTCTCTTTCCATCTATATTATCATTCTATTTAATCACAATTAAGAGATTAGTTATTGATAACAATAATATATTAATATTTACTCATATACTAAATCTTACAGTGAAGATGGTTTTTAAATTTATATCACAATGACACTCTCACAAATAAAACAATTAATAAATTCAGTGTTACTTTTCAGTTCATTTTGAACATAGCATAAATCCAACTGAAATTACATAATAAGAGTACCGTGTTCAAAAGTTACTTGAAATAATTCCTTTTATTTTCTTTATCTGAAGTAATTGTATCAAGCAGGTAATCTGCTAGATTCACTTGTTTCTTTTTTTTTATTTTTTATTTCAGAATATTACGGGGGTACAAACGTTTTGGTCACTTAAATTGCCTTTGCAGCACTAGAGTCTGAGCTACAAGTGTGCCCATCCCCCAGACAGTGGGCGCCACACCTATTAGTTGTGAATTTATCCATCTCCCCCCCCACCTGTCTGAAACCTGATGAATATTACTTCCTTATGTGCCCATAAGTGTTGATTGTTTGACCAATTAATGTGAAACATGTGGTGTTTGTTTTCCCATTCTTGTGATACTTCACTTAGAAGAATGGGCTCCAGCTCCATCTGGGATAACACAAGAGGTAGTTCTCCAGGTTTCTTTATTTTATTTTTTTTATTTTATTATTTATTTTATTTTATGGCTGAGTAGTACTTGGTGGTATACATATACCATGTTTTATATATATTTGCTTTAATTATATTTCCTGTTACATTAATTATTAAAATATATGAAAATTATTTACTCAGAGCTCTTATTTCTTTCCCTATTCTTCTTCTTATTATTGTTGCCTTCTATATGTACTTGCTTTACAGAATTTCTGTTTCATAATTTTGGGTGTTTATACATGGATATATCAGTATCTCCACTTCTTTTTAATCAAATACTGTATACAGATGGTCTGACTCATAATTTTTCAATTTATTAATATAATTTTTTACTTAATGATGGTGTGAAACCATCAAGTTTTTTATAATATATGATTTTATGTAATCTAAATATTCAATATATTGCATAGGATAGTTAATACTGTGTTATAAAATATGCTTTGAATTAGAAGGTTTTGCCAACTGTAGGCTAATGTAAGTGTTCTGAGCACATTTAAGGTAAGCTAGGCTAAGCTATGATGTTTGGTAGGTTAGATGTATTAAATTAATTTTGACCTACAGTATTTCAACTTATGATGCATTTATCAGGATGTAAGCCCATTGTAAGTCAGGTATCATTTTATGATAATATGTAAACCAAAAATTGTGGGCTGCTTTTATTGTTCACTTAATAACATAGCATGAAGATGTCTATATATCTGTTCATAGAGCTATTTCTCATTATTTTATGGAACAGCTTTTTAAAAATAAGGTTCATATGCCATAAAACTAACCAATTTAAGGGCACGATTCAATAATTTTTAGCATAGTCACAATACCACAATTCATTATAGACCATTTTTATCACCTCTAAAAGAAACCCCGTACCTTTTAGATATAAGTGCACACTCCACAATTCTCCCCAGCCCCAAGGAACTACTAATCTTTCTATCTCTATGTATTTGGTAGTTCAGGAAATTTTATTAAAATAGAATTTTATGTGTTTTTAATTATTAACTTCTTTTAGTTAACATAATATTTTCAAAGTTCATCATTCTTTTTATGGTCAAATAATATTACATTATGCACACACACACACCCATGTTTGTTGCTTATATAGCACATTTTATTTAATAATAGCTGATGGACTTTTAGTTGTTTCTGTAAGGCTGGTGGCTGGGTCTCCCCCGCCCCTCTTCCCCCATCCTCACAACATTGCAAAGCCTGCAGATCCTGCACAACAGCTGCCCTAACTGCCTCCTGTTACCAACAGAACATCTTGGCCTGGACCCCCTGCCAAGACAAAGCAGGAAGATGCCCGGGATGCAAAACACCCTGCCTCGACCCCTAGAGACAGACAACAACAACAGCTAGCCCCCTATAAAAGCTAACTCTCAGTCCTGGGCTGCGCGACTTCTGGGGCCCCTGCTCTGGGACCCTTGAATCTTGCCCGGAAGTGCTTTCAATAAACGCTACGTCTGTTAGCATTGATTCGTCCTCACTACTGTTCTTCCACCCCCGCAAAAAAGCCAAAGTTTCTACCTTTGGCTATTATAAATAGTGATGTTTGCACATTTATGTACAAGTTTTTTCATGGATATATATTTTCATTCTACTTGGGCATGTATGTATGAGTGGAATTGCTGGACCAATGGTAACTTCATGTTTAACTCTTGGGAAATGTATGAGAATGATTTATAAAGTAGCTTCAAAATTTTATATTCTTAACAGCAGTGTATGAGTGCTTAAATTTCTTTACATTCATATCAAAATGTTATTTTTTGTCTTTTTAAATTATTGCCATTCTAGTTAGTATATGTGAAGTGATATGTCATTGTGGTTTGGGGTTTTTCTTCTTTATATCATTTATATCCACTCTAATCTTTATTATTTTCTTATTTCTGCTCACATTGGTTTGATCTTTGTCAAATACCCTAAGGTGAAATGTCAGGTAATTGATTTGAACTATTTCTAGTTTTTAATGCAGGCATTTGCAGCTGCAAATTTCCCCTGTGCCCTAAGTAGGGCTGGAATGAAAAGGATATGCCGACTTGTTACCATTTCCAATTGCAAGGAATTTAGCCTCTTCGAAAGATAACTGGGGGCAGGATGAGAAGATGCCATGGCATGCCGCGCTCCTGCTGAATCATGCCCGTCAAACTGGAGCTGGGCAGGAAGGAGGCCCTGTGTTCTTGGTGGTACCTTCCTAGATTAGAGTTTCTATCACAGGAGAGGAGAAAGGAGTGGGATGGGTCATGATGGCAATACACAGCGACTGTCTTTCTTCGGAGTTTAGGTAGGTATTCTTAAATAAATATTTCTTCATTTGCTGTATGTCTTTAGGGCCATTCTGAGAGATTTTAGATGATTATTTATTTATTTTAGTAGTTTTCACTAGTTTCAATGGAGAGAGGTCAGAAGAGCTCCTCAGACTGTCAGGCCAGAATTCAATCCTCTCATTCTTTTGTATACCACATTATAGTCCAATGTGTAGATAAAACAATATTTATTCAACAATAATCTATGTGTGCCCATTTTTTGTGTCTTATATTTTCTGTCACTAATATGGCCAAGGTTCAGTGGTTCACCGAACCGCCCCACACATTTTTGTGTAGTATACGCTTGTGGAGGAGGATATTCAGTCACTTCACACTGGAGTTAACTGAAGGGTAGAATGCAGTACAAATGGTTGTGTATTAGGTACTGACAAATTCCTTTCCACTGGAGTTATATCATTTGAGTTCTAGTCTATTCAAATCAAAAGCTATTTTTTAGTGGCATAGTATAAAATATAAAATGTTCTTAAAATGATAACTAAATTTTTCATTAGGAATTAGTAAAGCCTTTATTCATGTTAAATTTTAAAAATTATATTTGTTTTGAATTTGTTTTCTCTCTTTATTAAGTCATTTTTCTCTCTCTCCTGTACTTTCCTTAACCCTTTCTCTTTTTCTCTCTCTCTTTTCTTATCCTATATGGGGATTCTCTTGCATATTCTAAATTATTCAGGTCTTTTACTTTTTATACTGGGTTTGCTAGTCCCGTGAATCATTTGTTGTCTTCAATTACTTTGCTTCTAAACTCCAGCTACTCATCACATCCACATAATGGTGACATTTGTGAAGTTGATTTTCCTTCAATGTATTCTGCTAAGGTATTCATTTATTCACCTAATATTCTTGATAACCTACCATGTGCTCAGTATTGATGACACAAATACAAACACACAGACTCTGATTTCAGTAATCTTACAATAGAGTGGTAAAGGTAGAGAAGTGATTCCATCAATTATTATTTGAAATATTAATATTAAGCATATGAAGTAAGTACAGGAAGAAAATGAAAACTGCCTTTGCCTATTATCCAAGAAAAGCTGCTACACTTATGTGCTGAAGCATTTTGCTTAGAAAGCTGCCTGTCACTCTGCTCAGTGTTGGTTCTTGACATGACAGCTCTGAGTCTCTCTAAGCAGCTCTGGTGAGTTTTGTGGAAGGTTTATTTCCTGATTTTTTCATGTTAATGCAAAAGATGTTACTCTTAGGATTAATGAAACCAGAAAGAAATTAATTGCTCAAATTCTTGATTCCATAATACTTCTTGTTTAACTGCATCAGATGGACTTTGATCAGAGTGGCAGGATTACTATTTGTGACATATATTAAGAAATTATTTTTCAGGAATCAAGCCTCGCACAATTATGTCATCTGGCTAAGTGATGAATGTTGCTTCTACATCTGGCATCATGTGTGAAGGTATTAGCTCTGGACTTGAAAAAAGAAATGATATGGATGAGAAGTGACAAACTGGAACAGACAAGAATATAGGGAGATGCGCGCGCGTGCGCGCGCACACACACACACACACACACACACACACACACACTACTCAATCCCATGTCAGTATCTTACAAACTCCAGTTTTGATGATACAAATAATGTGCACAACAAAGTAGAACCTTTTAGTAGAGAACTGTACTTGCTCCTTGTGCAACATTTAGAAAAGCTGAAAAAGATCAGGTGGGAGTAGAAAAAATGAGGTGACTGGCTGCTACATAACACCAAGCAGGTGACCCAATAATCCAGTGACAATGTGCAGGAGATGCAAAAATGTGCATTGTCTACAAAGACCAAAATCTAGAAAAGTGACTGCTAACTTACTTCCATTTAACCAATCATGCAGTAACCAATTACTTCCATTTAAATAATCATGCAGTGTAATACTATAGTAATAATGATACCCCTGTATTATAATAATAAGTTATAGAAACTATTGTACTCTTTCTTTTAATTCAAAGAAACAGAGTACAGTAACAAACTCATACAAAAAGTTTAGATAGGAGATAGCAGAAATTTCAGAAAAGAGTATTAAAGATTAACACTCAACTAATGTTGCATCAATGCTAAGCTAATAGGAATGTTGTACTTATTTTGATCTTATAACCAAATCAATAACTTTTCCATTTCAATAATTAATTCACTATGCTGCTTGTTAATACTGATGCTCCCATTAGAGCGCTGCCGTTCACATGTTCTGGTATTCTCACTTTACCTTTATAGTTGCTCCAGTTGTTGAGCTTTCACAATGAGTGATGGTGTCCGGCCTTTCTCCAAATGATTAATTATATCTGCTTTTGTTTCTGTTGTAATCACCTTTCTCTTTGCTGCACACTCACCTGTATTTGTAGTGAACTTTCACTTTGCAGATTTAGTCATAAGTGTAAACACACACTAACAAAATTGAATAAAATAGTTAAGACAAAAATGAGTGTAAGAGACAGTAGAAACAATGAGACTAGCCCATGAGTGCAGAACCTGTGGCCTTCTACATCCTTAAGTGGGGCCTTTTGACTGAATCCAAATGTTATAGAAAAAAATTCTTTTGTTTTTATTAATACATTTTTGTCTGTCTTTCATACTTTTATTTATTTTTAAAATGAATGTATTTAAAATACAATAAAATGAAATGAATGTTAATGAAATAAATCTCCCAGATTGACCAGCACAATTAGAACAATTAGTAAGCCATAAGGGCGAACTGACAGCTGCTATGGTCATGACTCAGTTCTAGCGTCCCCTGCCTGACTGCAGCCATGGCATGAGGCTGGTTGGTGAGAGTTTTGGGGGGTTGAGTATGCCAGTCTGTTATTGGCTTTTGACAACAGTGCACTGTGTTTCTGTTTGAAGTGAAATTTGTGAATAGTTGGCATGGCTCAATAATATTTTTTAATTCTGTCTGCTTCATAGCCCATCATATCGAAGACCAAGAGAATGCTGAAGGAAGAAAACAGATTTTTTAAAATGAGGATTGGGAATTACAATATGACCTTGTTTCTGCTAAAGATAAGATGATTTGCTTGCTTTGTGATTCTCCAGTATCAACAATAAAGAAATCCAATGCTCATCAGCATTAAAACAGTCATAAGGACCACAAATATTTTAAATTAGAGAGAGAGGCATGCACAAAAGATTGTATTGCAGAAATTAAAGGATGAAAAGCAAAAGCAATGACAATTCATTCAAGCAGCAATAAGACCCAGATATAATGCCACTGAAGGAACTTATAAAGTAGCTTACATACTTGGGGAAAAAGGGAAGCCATTTAGTGATGCAGAAATTGTGAAAGAATACTTTGTCAAGTTTTAGGATGATTAGACCCTGATAACGTTTTAAAGTACAAACAACTGCCTCTTTCAAGAAGAAAGATAACTGATTGGCAGAATGAATTAGCCTTCAACTTAACAGAACACCTTCATGCAGTAGTTCAAAAGGAAAATACATATTATTCAATCGCTTTGGATGAATCAACTGATACTACTGACTTGGTACAGGTTTTACACTTCATTTGGGTTACAACAGAAGATTTTCTTTCCTACAAAGAGTTACGCACTTTGGGCACTCTTGCAAACAAAATGCAGGGAATAGATATCTTCAACAACTTTCAAGATAAATGTCGTGAACTTGGACTGAATTTGGTAAATTTAGTGAGTGTACATATAGATGGCAAACTAGGTGGCAAACTAGAAGGCAAACCTTCCATGACAGGAAAACATGAAAGATTTATAGCACAGATTTTAAAAAGTATTAAAAAAAAAGTAACAGATCCAGATGCTCTCATTTCTTTTCATTGTATCCACAAAATCTCTGTACTAAAGCTACTATTTTAAGTGATACTTAAACTTAAAACTTTGCAACAAGTTTTAATTGTTAAATATATTGGTGCAAATGCAACATTGCATCATCCTTAGTCTTGTAACATGCTAAGGTTGAATGATGAGGTATTCAGTGTGGATTTGCCATATCATTCTAAAGTGTGTTGGCTATTACAGGGACAGGTGTTAGCCAAAGTTTTATTTCTGTGAGAAGAGATAGTTAAATTTTATGAAGAACAGATGGAATCAGCAATGTGAATTATTGAAAGAAGATTTCTGTAGTCATGCAGCATTTCTCTGTGATATCATGTCAAAGC